TAATTGAAAAGATATTCATAGAAAATAGTTGATGTGCCAACCAAAAAGTAAATTGAGAAACATCTCAATAATTTGTTAAAAAAAAACTAGCGTGACATATGAAAAAAAAAACCAACAAAGAAAACGTTTTCAATCGTCATAAAAAGAATAATATGTAAATTGACTCAATGACACCTTAAATTAAAAATATTGGTTCGACTATTCCTAATCGACTCAATCAATTATCAGCACTCAATAAATTTAAAATGCATGTTGATTATTTATTCCTTTTTTTTTTGTTAGAGTACATGTAAAATTTTTTTTCAATTAGATGTATATAACTATTGAGTTTTGAAGCATTAGACACAAGTCGTAGTACCAAAGTTATTTACATTAGTTTGGAACTACATAAGTCAAATATAACATCTACTTCTTCTTTTTTTGTCAACAATTCGTCATTCCATTAAATTATCAAAGTACAAAGGGAGGGAATTAAACATCCTCCAGAATTAATACAACATAATTGAACAGCAATAAAAACATAAAGTAGATAGATCATCGCAAAGGATGGACAGCGAATCCAAAACATGCATCAAATGCGTCAAGAGGGTCTTCGCGGCAAAACCGGAGATTTTTAGGTTAGTCACTTTACCGTGTGACTTTGAAGTTCCCGGTATAAAGCACGGAGCTTCGACCACTCTCCATGAGAGGGGAGAAGATATGACCATGCTCAACGAGCTGGAAAAATGTGGAATTGAACTCTTCTACCGGGAATAAGTTACAGGATTTGAGAATCCAGAAAACTTTGACCTTCTCATACGTGGATACATGAATCTAGACGATTGATAAAATGAAGTACTTTGAAGGTGAATTGGTCTCTCCAGGCTCGATTTGGAGGACTTTGATTTTAACGTAATAATATCTGATTTGCAGATAAGGAAGGCAATAATTGTTTGCAGGGATAAATAATGAGTGAGTTTATACCTGATTTGTAGATAAGAATTTTGATTTGATATTGAACCTTTTTTATGGTATGGGCCAGGAGGTTTTAAGTCTGTTGGGCCAAGAAGCCTATGACTCATAATGGCTCAACCCATTAGGATTTTAAGGTTGGGGGGGGGGAAGTCTCGAGCAGTTGGGATGAGGCTCATGTTCATGCCGCACGAGGAAGGTTGGAATGGATTTATCATCGGTGGCGAGAAAAATCTTGATCGACGCCGGGCAGGAGGAAGTCAGCGACGGGGGAGGTTTCACAGTCGCTGGAGCCAAGATTGAAGTCGGTGGCTGAGGAAGTTTGAGTCCCGTGTCAGGACTAAAGCTTTGACAACAGGCGACTTTAGATCTCGGCGAGGGGATGAGTCTTGTCGTCGACGGAGCATGAGTTGAAGTCGTAGACTGAGATGAAGGCAAGGTAGCGGTGAGGAAATAGCGGTGGTGATAACCCAAAAGCCGTTGCGGATCTCTCTTTGACGGTTTGTAGTCACGAGCAGGCGAGTGGGCCGCGGTGGGCCGACAGTCCGGTGGGTGGGGAGGGTCGGGTGGGTCCGGAGGGTTCGACTAACGATTCGCCGGCACGCCGGATCTGGTCACGGTATAACTGTCATTAGTTGTTCTGTCATCTCCGATAACGTAATTGTCCTGATCGGAACCTGTTTACATCTAGTTCGGAGGTGAAGAGTGTTCTTCTCTTGAGAAGAGAGAGAGGTTTGCAGGATTTTCGCCTGAGTTAACCCCACCCAGATCTGAGTTACCTCTGTGCTTCGTCTTTTCTGGTTCGGCGACGGTGTCTCAAAGATGCAATCCATGGAGCCGGAAGTGAAGCCATGGTTGAGGTTTACGCCGGCTGAGAGAGACATGGAGTCTCAAGGAAGGCAGAAGAAGACGAACGCCGGTGACGAGAAGCACATTTTTCTCAAAAGTCTCCGATGGCGGCAAACTTCGGTAAACGGACCTGGGAGGTTTTTCTCTGTTGTTTCTTTTTCAATAAATATAACAACTACTTATATAATATTTTTTGGTGTCTATGATTCAATACGAAAAATTTTAAAAAAATTTCACATATTTATTTGTTTTCAATATTTTCTATATATTATAAAATCAATTTCAATATACAACAAAAATTTATAATCAAAAATTATAATTAAAATTTATAACCTCATACTTGATGCGGGTCAATATCTAATTTATTAATATATTTGTTTCCTTTTGATTGCATCATATTTTAGGTTATCCAAACAGCCGAAGCCCAAAAGGAAGCCAAATGGTAAGACCTTTGATTTGTATTACTGGGCTAATAACTGTCGACGTATATTAGTTTGTTTGACGGTGAGCCATATTGGATTTCCATATGCCTCCAGCTTACGACATGGATTGTTCGTAAATTTTTTTTTTTTTGCTCACATGGGTTTGTAAATAT